CCCCAAAACCCCAAAACCCCAAAACCCCAAAACCCCATTATCTTTAATAGCTAATTAAAATATTATATTTAAAAATGATTGACGAAGGGCAGAACGATAATCAATTCTTGGGATCTGCTAACACTTTGGAGAAGAATCTTATGAGGAAATCTATAGATGCATTTGCTAAGTCAAATAAAAATACCAGCCAGGATATCAATGTGGATCATATTGATAATTCAGCTGATTTAGACCAAGTTATGAAGAGTTCAATTGATGATACACTGGCAAAAGAAAATATTTTTATCAGTAATGAGTATGGTATTAAGCTCCTCGCCTGTGAAAACTTCCAGTCTTTCCTAACTCTTCTCCATGTTGGCAATAGTATCGTAATTTATGAGATTACTTCTGATAGTAATAATCATGAAATGGATAGAGACATAGTTCTACAGCTCTATATTTCAACTTTCAGCTGAATACTCTTAATCTGCATGCTCTTCATAAGGTATTGGCTAGAAGTTAAATGGCATAAGGCGAAGAATTTATCAGCAAATATCTGGATCCCATTGGCAGTTGAACTTGCGATCACTACTGTAGGACCACAGGTGTTTTTAAAAGACGTGACGTACTCCGAATATGTCTATGATTATGACATTTCGGTAACTTATCCTGTAAATAACTTGCTTTGCTGCTTTGTATGGGTGAAATTATATGTTCCGATTAGAACATTTTTGATGACGAACAAGTATACCACACCGAGAGCTCAGAGAGTGTGCTTTTTAAATGGTTGAAATGCTGATTTAACCTTTTCTTTCAGGTCAAAATTTAAGGAGAGTCCTAATTCAATTCTAGTGACCGCATTTATCCTCAGTAGTTTAGTATGAGCATATATGTTGAGGATCTTTGAAAGACCTCTCTCAGAAGTTTCTGAGCAAGATTTTAACCCTGTCTGGACAGCAATTTGGTGTGTCTTCGTCACCATGACAACAGTCGGATATGGAGACGTCTACCCTAAAAGTTATGGAGGTAGACTCCTCGGAGTTTTCATGTGTCTATGGGGTGTTCTTCTAGTCTCCTTGTTCGTAGTCACAATTTCTGATATTCTAGAATTTGACCAGAGTGAGAAAAATTCGTATATTCTCATAAAAAGACTGGTCTACAAGGAAGAGCTTCGCAAAAGTGCTGCAAAGCTGATTGTATCTAAAATAATAAGACTAAGGCAATCTAAATTTGAAGTTAAAAATACTACAGATGTCAAGACAAACTTCCTGTTTAGAAGGCATATGCTGACCTTTAAAAGGAAGAAGCTAGAGAAGAGGCAATTTGAAGATAGCAACGAACTTATCTTCCTCTTCAAAAATGCTGATGACATTGGTGAGATGTTGGAAGAAATTGAAGCCAAACAAAAGAAATTAAAGAGAAATCAAATCAAAATCTTCGCTGCTATCAAGTTATTCACAGATATAGCTGAGCATCTTGAGAATGAAGAAAAGGAGGTTTAAGAAATGTTTCGTTATTATAAATAATCAAGTTTTCAACAATAAATCTCAATTGCGGGGTTTTGGGGTTTTGGGGTTTTGGGGTTTTGGGGTGTTGGGGTTTTGGGG